TTTCGCCTGAACGGTCATGTCCGCTATGTGCACAGAGGTGCGGCCCTTAGGAAAATTGAGGGATGAGCAGCATGAACTCTATTAAGAGAGGTTCACAATAACCGAACTTCGTGCTCTAGTGTTTTGAATGATAGCCTAAGAAGGCACACTGGTATAGTGGCGTTTAACAGGACCGTTAGAAGAACGCTAGCGCCAGCAAAATGTGTTCACCTTTTGCCAAACCATAGAAGACTTGATGTCGAATGAGCCACCGATAAATTGGCATGGAACGACGAATATAGGAATTGTTTTTTTTTTTTGTGACGAAACGCGGTTCAACCTGATACACTCCGATGGTAGGGTGTTAGTATGGAAGCAACCTAGGGAGCGATTTGAAGAAGACAACATGGCTTCTCAGGAAACCTTTGGAGGAGGAGGGTTTAATGTTTGGGCCGGAGTGATGTACAACGATAGATTACTTATACATTTCACGGGGTACTGTTAACGCCGTAATTTATCGGAATCACATAATAAATGACATTGTTATTCCATTTGCAGAAAATATTGAGGAGCATTTCATCATGGTTGACGATAATGCGAGACCTCACAAAGCAGGAATTGTTCAGGAGCATTAGGGGGACCATAACATGCAACAGTTACCCCTGCCTCCAAAATCTCCTGATCTTGTGTGGTCTCAGCTTAAGTTACTGGTACGATCGCGCGAAAATGCTCCCAAACGTTGGATGAGTTCGCACTTGCCATAGAAAAAGAGTGGCAAAATATCCCTCAGGCATTCATTAATCTCTTGGTTGACAACATGCCACGGCCGGCGATGCCAAAAGGTTGTGAATGTGAGGAGAGGGCTTACTAACTATAACTTTGATAATCTGCCGTTCTTTAATAATTTTTTTAGTTTACGTTGTTTATTACTCAACTTTTAGGTCACTTTGTTGTTGTTATTGAATCTTAGTTTGATTAGTTTTTTAGTTTACTTATTTTGATACGTTTTACCTAGGTATCTACCTTACTAAACTGATAGTACTTCTTAACGCATTTAAAGTAGGGGAATTTCAGATGTTACCGGTTGACAACGGCGCGCGCGATAAATAACACGTGTCGATTCATTTTGTTATTTCTAGCTGTCAGCGGTCTTGATAATTTATTATTACATTCTGGTAACTTATAAGGAAAAAAAAAAGGCATTGACAACAATTTTCAGTCCTTGTTCTACGACTTTATCCTAAATATAACGTAAAAAACCTATAGGAACACTTTTTGTGTTTTGTTTTAAATCAACTTAAAGAAGCATTAACGTTGTTCATATAATTTTTTGTTTGGCAGATAATGTAATTTATTTGTCACTCATTTGTAAAACGTCACTTATCAAGTCAAAACATAACCAGCGAAAATTGATTTTTACAAGCTACTGGCTCTACTGACTTGTAAAATTGACAGCTAAACTGTAAAAACTTTTTACAAGTCAGTAGAATTATTTATTTTTGGAAAATCGGTTTTATCACAAGAATAATCGCTTGTAGGTACCTTCTGGGAGACTTTTCTGGTGATAAACTGTTGGCTACGACTGAGGCTTCATTAATAATATCTTGTAATAAATTCATTTCTGGAAAAAAATTGCAAAATGGAAATCTGTCAAAAAACCTATTTATAACTAGAAACAACGTCTTAACAACGTATCATTCTCATAGTTATACCAACTACCAAAACTTCTGTGAGAAAAAATCAAGGAAAAACATATAAATTTCAAATTTTTGTTATGTATTGATTTTTTATTTGTCCCTATATCTTTTACAAATGAGTAACAAATAAATTATTGTACATTATACGCCAGGTAGCAGTTTTTACTGGCTCTTGAAGGTGACAAGCTCGCCTGGCGGCTCGCTAGTCATTTCCTTCAATCGCCAGTAAAAACTGTTTTACCTGGCTAATAATGTAAAATACTATTACCATCCTTAACTTTATTTTTTGATAATGCTACTAATAATAATAAATAGTAATAAAGTAAAGGTTCGGGTTTCCTCTCACCACAACGAAATCGGTTCCGAATATTTAAATTTTATCAGTGGTATAAATAATTATTAGCACGTCACTGTACAGGGTGTCCGAATTTGGATGGTTTTGATAGGAAACGTCAATTTCTGAGCGAGATACAAAAAAATGAACCCCCACTCCGAGGCTCAAATTTCTTGAAATTTTGATTGGTGCAAACCGCATTTTGATATCTTCAACCGTTTAGCCGCTAGAGGGCGATTCTCGATTTTGAGCAATACTGTGAAATCTTCATAACTTTTTTGTTTATAAAAATAACTGATTTCCGTAAAAACTTTCTAGAAGCACTTTTTCGAGCAGAATTCAGTGACGTTTTCAGTTTTTTTCTATTGGGCCTCGATTTCAAGATATTGACCAAAATCCGATTTTTTTCAATGGGACACCCTATATATTAATAGTTCATTAGAAAGCTCTGGTTTTGCTGATTTCAATGATACAAATTTCGATAGGTTTATCTCTAACAGTTTTCGAGAAAAAAAAATATTTCGGCTTTTGTCATAAGAAACAATGAGAAAGAGACCTTTCTCAGTTTCCTTACAGATATAAAGTCCTTTTCTTACACATTGCTTCTTATGACAAAAACCGAAATAATTTTTTTTCTCGAAAACTATTAGAGATAAACCTATCGAACTTTATATCATTGAAATCAGAAAAAGCAGAGCTTTCTAATGAGCTATTAAAATATCGGGTGTCCTATTGAAAAAAACCAGACTTTGGTCAATATCTCGAAGTTGGGACCAACTAGAATAATACTGAGAACGTCACTGAATTCTGCTTGAAAAAGTGCTTCTAGAAAGTTTTTACGGAAATCAATAATTTTCATAAACAAAAAAGTTATGATGGTTTCACATTATTGCTCAAAATCGAGAATCGCCCTCTAGCGGCTAAACGGTTGAAGATATCAAAATGCGGTTTGCACCAATCAATTCAATTCATGAAATTTGAGCCTCAGAGTGGGGGGTTCATTTTTTTGTATCTCGCTCAGAAATTGATGTTTCCTATTAAAAGTGTCCAAATTGGCCCACCCTGTACAGCATATCATTGAGGTATTCGATATTTTTAATCATAGTAAATATGCTGGCTGAAAGGTATAACAATTGCTAAAAAATTGACCGGTAAGAACGATTCAGGATGGTTTAGAACGGAAAAATCGATAATATATAGAGTGTCCTATTGAAAAAAACCAGACTTTGGTCAATATCTCGGAGTTGGGACCAACTAGAAAAAAACTGAGAACTTCACTGAATTCTGCTTGAAAAAATGCTTCTAGAAAGTTTTTACGGAAATTAATAATTTTCATAAACAAAAAAGTTATGATGGTTTCACTGTGTTACACATTATTGCTCAAAATCGAGAATCGCCCTCTAGCGGCTAAACGGTTGAAGATATCAAAATGCGGTTTGCACCAATCAAAATTTCAAGAAATTTGAGCCTCGGAGTGGGGGGTTCATTTTTATTGTATCTTGCTCAGAAATTGATGTTTCCTATTAAAACCATCCAAATTCGGACACCCTGTACAGCATATCATTGAGGTATTCGAAATTTTTAATCATAAATATAAGCTAATCGAAAGATATAACAATTGCTAATAAAATTGATTTAATGAAAAATAATAATTTCTGTTTGCACGCCACTGTACAGGGTGGGCCAATTTGGACACTTTCTTATGGAAACACCCTTTCTTTTTAGAGATAGAGAAAAATGAACCCCCCACTCTGAGGCTCAAATTTCATGAAATTTTGATTGGTGGAAACCGCATTTTGATATCTTCAACCTTTTAGCCACTAGAGGGCGATTCTCGATTTTTAGCAATATTGTAAAACCTTCATAACTTTTTTGTTTATGAAAATAATTGATTTCCGTAAAAACTTTCTGGGAGCACTTTTCTAAGGAGAATTCAGTGACGTTCTCAGTTTTTTTCTATTTGGAGCCGATTTTGAGATATTAACTAACAAATAAATAGCGTCGAATTCAAAAAAGCTTCAGAACAAAAAGACATAGGAATCAAAGTCACCGATGTTCTGAAATGGGAAACCCATATATCGCACACAGTAAAAAATTCCAATCAACTAGTATAACCTTTGGTATAACTTATGAGACAAGCATTTGAAAATCAAACTGTGAAAATGATAAGTCAACTGTACAGCACTTACATTAGACCAAAACTAGAATATGGCCACACAGCTCGGTCTCCTTCAGTCTCCTTACTACATCAAAGACATGGATCTCTTAGAAAGTGTTCGGAGAAAAATAACCAAAATTCCAATAGAACTAAGAAACCTGCCCTACAAAAATATCAGTTGACAACACTCAGGGAAAGAGGAAACCTTATTGAAACATACAAGATCGTGAATGGTTACTACTGTACAGACCTAAAGCTAGAAGATATGTTTCAAAAGAATCAAAACTTAAACCTTAGAGGACGACACTGAAAACTTACAAATGACCAATCAAAAAATTTTTTTCAAATAAAAAAGTACAAAATCTTTGTACCATAAAAAACACATTACCTAGTGTATTATTTTCAAAGAAATACTTACCCAAAGCAAACTACTACAAGTGAAAAATCAAAACCATAATAATAATGATAATAATAATAATAATATCTTATTTCCGCTAAATTCACCACTGCTGAATCTTTTGGCATCTAATTTATGTCATACTTCCGCTTCAATTCCTATCGAATCCCATTCCATTCGGGTATTGTGCACAATTTTCCTAACTTGAGACATTTATACAGTTACTTAATTTATTTTTATGAATAACGATCGTTGATAATTTATGGTTTTTGAAATAATTGGGAAACGGTCAAGTTTAGGATTGTTTATTTTATTTGTTAAAGAGTCAAATAAACAATTAAACTTGACTGTTTCCCAATTATTTTGAAAAACCAATATACAGTTACATCGAAATTTAAATAATTATATTTCATTCTTATTATTTATTATCTTTAGCTAACACAAAGGATCTTAGAAGCCCATACAAACGTGAAAGATCTGTCATTGGTTGACGCCAAAATGAACTACATTAAAGCCTGGCAACTGTTGCCCGATTACGGCATCACCCTGTTTGTGGTCAAATTTATGGATTCTAAAAAAGAGGAATTGTTAGGTAAGAATATTAATCTACGTCGGTGTCATTATGACACATTTAGCATTGTCATTTGAATGTCATTAGGTCCTTCATAATAGCACTAGTGCGTTTAAGAATTCATAATGACACCCAAATTTTGAAATGAAAAATATACAAAAAGAAAGTTAGTTGCCAGAAGAACCTTTTCAATAATGCTGTCTCTATATTCGAAGAGACACTTTCGAACTCAGATTCACCAATAATAATATTATTTTCCACCTTAAAATTGAATTTATGGCACAAAAATGGACTCCAATATTGAAGCTGCCAAAGTCAAAATTCTAAAAACCAACAAGCAGGTTCTCGACTTGTCCGGGCACCTGCTAAATTTCAAATTTTAATTTGAAAAGTTTTTGCTATTTCAAGGCAAATCAAATCTATTTGAACCATTGTAGATTAAATTTTGAATGATACACGTTCGATATGAACTTTATTAATGAAACTTGTGTAACTAAACCACTCGGCTAACGCCTCGTGGTTTAACGTTACACGCGTTTCATTATGGCGTTCATATCGAACTTGTATCATTAATAACTATAATCTACGTCGGTGTCATTATGACACATTCAGCATTGTCATTTGAATGCCATTAGGTCCTTCATAATAGCACTAGTGCGTTTAAGAATTCATAAAAACACCCAAATTATGAAATGAAAAATATACAAAAAGAAAGCTAGTTATCAGAAGAACCTTTTTACTGATGCTGTTTGGATATTTGAAGGGACACTTTCGAACTCAGAATCACCAATATTAACATTATTTTCCACTATAAAACTGAGTTTATGGCACAAAAATTGACTCCAATATTGAAGCTGCCAAAGTCAAAATACTAAAAATCAACAAGCAGGTTCCCGACTAGTACGGGCACCTGCTAAATTTTGAATTTTAATTTGAAAAGTATTTGCTATTTCAAGGCAAATCAAATCTATTTGGACCATCGTAGATTAAATTTTGAATGATACACGTTCGATATGAACTTAATTAATGAAACTTGTGTAACTAAACCACTCGGTTATGGTTCATATCGAACTAGTATCATTAATAACTATAATCCACTTCTTAAACAACAAATTTTATGTAATATTATATCCATTTCTCAGGTGTGGCTTATAACAGAATAATGAAAATGGACATCAACTCGGGAGACCATCAGAAAACTTGGAGGTTTAACACGATGAAAGCTTGGAATATTAATTGGGAAATTAAACATATGATGGTGCAATTTGAAGAGGGAAATATTGTGTTCAGCTGTCAATCGGCTGATTGTAAGGTAAGAACCAATTGGACTATCGGAGACAAAATATAAAGGGTGTTTGGTACATCGATAAGAAGTTTTCAATGAGTGATAGTTGTGTCATTTGGAAGCTGTTTGGTCATATTTACCCTTATACAAAGTTTTTTCGTTTTTGAGATATCAGCATTTTTTACTTTAACCTTTCTCAATTTTTTTTTCTATATGCCTAATATGAACTCTTTCATAAAAATACAAAAACCGAATGATTGATACAAAAAATATGTAACCCAAGTTATGTGTTGAAATACATGGATTCAAAATATCTAAAAATAGCGATATTTCAAAAAACGGCGAAACTTTCCATGAGAGTGAATATGGTCAAACAGCTTCCAAATGACCCCAACTATCATTCATTGGAAACTTCCTATTGATGTACCAAACACCCTGTATCCTTATTATCATTTGGTTTGGCTAATGCATAATCTGGTGATTAATGTTTGTTAAATAATATACATACTTTTTCTACAGGTTATCCATGAATTTATCGGTGGATACATTTTCTTATCGACAAGATCCAAAGATGCCAGTCAAACGTTGAATGAAGAATTGTTCCATAAATTGACAGGAGGATGGTCATAAGTTAAGCTGGTGACTTTTGTAGAGTAATTTATTGCAGGATGGTCTTTGTTGAGGCTTAATTTTTAACAAAACTTTTTCTTCCAATCTTTCCCAGATTTTGTAACGATTTTTTTGGGGCTTTAGTAATTTACAAATTTTGAAATTCTTATGGAAAGTCAGTCCTAATAGGCAATCTACTTAAAGTTTTTATTGAGCATATAATATTTTGTCTCAAGTGCATTGTGCATATTAATAATTTTTGGCACTAATATTAATTTTAGCCTCTTATGCACTTGTTCATCAACTAACCAAATTTGTCTTTGGTTTCTTTTAATGTTTTTTTTTTCCAAAAATAATTCAAACTTTTGGATCTTTTGAAATCGACTATATTTAAAGAATCCAATAATTTTTGTTGAATTTGATTTGTTGTTGGAGAAAATTTCTTAGACGATTTTATGAATAGAGATGTTTATTATTTGTAAATAGAATTTATTTTGTTAATATTTTATTGCAACGTGTTACAGGCGGCATTGCCTTGTAATGAAATTTTATTTAAATATTTATTGAGGATTGTAACATATTGAGAAAAAAAAAATGCGTTTATGCTTATGGAAAAGTTGCCTTTTTCGGATTTTTAGATAATTATTGTTGTTGCTTAGATGTTAACTGAACGAAACCATAAGATCTAGGTGCCTTATTGTGTGGATTTCCATAAATTAGTGAAAATATTAACGTTAGATCTTATGGGGACGAGTGTTTTATTTTTAAACTACTTACTACTATTATATTCTAATGTTACTAAAGTTTTTAGAAAAAAAAATTGAAAATATATTTTTACCCAAGTTTTTAACTTCCGGAACCATTTTTTCTTATACAGGAAATACATACATACAAACCTATTTTATATAAATTGATATTATTGTATAAATAAAACAGTTTTATCTATTAATAAAGTATATTATTATTAACAAAAAAAATAAAGTTTTATTTATATATTAAAGAATGCAATGACCCAGAAAAATAAATTGCTCATCTTATTTTCGATACAAACAAAATTAGTCGAAAATAATGGTTATAATATACAATGTTGCCATCATTAATGTTTAATCGTAATTATTGACATACATATCGTCGTCGTTATAATCGTCATAATAATCTTCAACCCAGTCATCAAAATGGTCGTCGTCATAATAATCTTCAACCCAGTCATCATAATGGTCGTCGTCATAATAATCTTCAACCCAGTCATCATAATGGTCGTCATCATCCTCACCTACAAAATTGACATATTTCATTTTATATTTTTTCTGATAATAGATAACATAGGCAGGGTAATACGAAGCATCATCATATTTAACCAAAACAGTTCCAGTTTTATTCTTGGAAGTGTACGAAGCAGGAGCTTTTGGTACTATTGTATCTTTAGATCCAGTTTCCAGCGGATTGCCATAAAACATTTTAGCCAGCACCATGACTTTATTGATTTTTTTGCAATTCTTTGGATAATGAGTAGCGAATGTTGAATTCTTGGCGAATGAGATTCCCTTTCCAAATTTGTGAGTTATGATCTGAAAATAAATGAATTAATATCGGTATCGGGCAAGCCTCTTTCAAAAGATGTTGAACAACTAATTGCTGTAAGAAGCTTGTAGATGAAATTGCTTTTTTACAATGCTTACAATGATTTCTCTTTAATAGGCATCGGAAAAAAAAATTACCTAAGGAAATCAGGCGTTAATTGAGGTTGATATGTGGATATGAAGGCATTTTTCTCTCAAATATCCTACCTTTGATCTGTCGAAATTAAATTCACAAATGCTGGTCAAGTTCTCCTCCGCAGTGCCATGAAAATAGAATTCTTCTTTAAACCCCAAAGCACCATTTTGGGACAAAAACTTGCTTTTGGCAATATGGTAGTGCAATAAAATAAAAGTATTTTCGATTTTGCGGACTTGTGAAATTTTATACTTCTTTTCTGCGGGCAAGAACTTTTTATGAATCATTTTATATTCCTCAGAGCCATTAGATAATGGTATTTGCTTGAATGGCTGGTTGGGATAATTATCCAGAAGTGGTAAGTCAAAAGTCTTCCTCAGGTGTTGAAGCAAGTTAAAGTCTTTTTGGATGACTTTAGGTGCAGGTAATTCGAATTTTGAGTTCTGCATTGTGGATTTCCTGGAAAGAAGGAGAATATAAATATGTTATTTTGAAAAAAGTTAATATCAACTAGGCTAGGAAACCCCTAGGAAAAGTTCAAAGGCTCGTGTGTCTTTGTATTGTATTGATATTGATGATACCTATAGAGAAGGTTCGAAGACTGCTAAGGGAATTGGAGCAAAAGTATTCGGAGCCAGAGGGCAAATTTCCAAGCATCTTTCAAGCGGAATTGCATGCAATCGGAAGATGCAGAACCTGAACACAAGATATTGGAAACAAAAAATTATAATAATGTCTGAGAGCCAAGCAGCTATCAAAATATTGAGCTTATTTTAAGTACATAACAATTTTCGTGCTTCTTAATTTGTTAGACACAAAATAGTCAAGATTTTTGTCCGACCAGTGGCGGCTCGTAATAAAGGGCTCTGGGGCGCCGCCCTCCCTGTAGTAAATGAAAAATGAATTATTTTTGTTTTTCTTGAAACCCCAAAAATACTTCATTCAGAAAATCAATAAAACAACATGAAAATTGAAATTAATGAAATTCAAACATGCCGATATTCGGGCAAGTTATATCGAATGAGTAACGCATTTCGTTCGTTCTAGGGGGACTATGGGCAACTTATGCCTGCCGAACGCGGGCGCTAGAAAATCCTACAGTGGGTAATTTTAATGGGTTATAGCAAAGAATATTATAGTTAACTATAGAAAACCTACGCTTATGGGCGACGGCAGACCGCTAGAGGCGCTGCTCCGGTGTTGTAAATTGAAATAAATTATATTCGCGCTAGCTTTTCGGCAAACAAATTTTAACAGCGTTGCGCGATTCTACGAAAGCGTAGAGCTGCCATGCTAATATTAAAAAATATTTTTATAAAAATTTACAGTTTTTCTGTAAATTTACACTTTTTCTGTAAATTTACACTTTTTCTGTAAATTTACACTTTTTCTGTAAGTTTACACTTTTTCTGTAAATTCAGTTAATAGTAATGGTTAGTTTGGGTTAGCTCGCAATTTTAATCAGAGATCACCAAACTTACCGATAATAACCCGGTGAGTTTGCAGTTTTAACATTAATAAACTTTCAACGATAATAACCCGGTTAGTTTGGCTTAGTTTGCGATTTTAATCAAACATTACCATTATGTTTTCCAAATTATTGATTTTCGAATTATTAATTTTCGAAAAATATATTTTCAAAATTATTGAATTTTGAAAGAAAAAAATTCGAAATAAGCGTTTTCGAAAAGGTTTATTTTCGAAATAACAGCATTCGGCAAAAAATCGAAATTTGTATTCTCGAAAATTGAACATGCATACAGGACTGATAAAAATTGCAAACTTATCCGAACTAATCAGATTATTGTTATTGTTGTTGGTAATGTCAGACTCTAAATTGCAAAATAACCCAAACTAATCAGGTTATTATCGGTAAGTTTGGAAATGTTTAATTAAAATTGCAAAGTTACCAAAACTTACCGGGTTATTATCGGTAAATTTGGTAATGCCTTCTTAAAACTGCCAACTAACACAAACTACCCAGGTTATGATTGGTAAGTTTGGTAATGCATTTTTAAAACTGTAAACTAATGGGGTTATTATCCGCGAGTTGTCAGTAACCCAAACCAACCCAAACTAACCAGGTTGTTATTGGTAAGATTGGATATATGCCTGATTAAAATTACAAACTAACTTAAACTAACCGGGTTATTATCGGTAAGTCTGTAATGTCCGTCGTTTTTAATCTGACACTTTCCGTATGAAGAGCGAGGAGGTGAAGATTATAGCAAAAACAGGTGTAACGTCAGGTGACCATTGGCGTTCTAATGTCCGATGCAGCAAGGTATGGTCGATATAACGTTGAATTTACGATACTTCCTAACGTTGCATTACGTTGTAACAACAGTTGAATGTACGTTGACAGGACGGCACAATGTCATAATTGAGACAACGTTGAATGTGACCGTTGAATTAACGTCGTTTTTTTTGTTGGCCTCAATCTTATAACAACGTTGATCAGATGTATTCGAGACGTCAGATTTCACGTTGAACTCAACCGTTATCACAAGCTTGACCAGATGTAATTAAGACGTCAGATTTTACGTTGAGCCTGAGGTTGAGCTCAACCTTTATTTACAAGTTGAAATAGAAAAAATAGTACAAAAAACATGCTTCATAAGACATTTGATATCAAATTGCGTCTTATGAAACTTGTTCTATAGCTGGCTCTGTCAGAACAGTTTTCAATTAAAATAAAATCACCAAAATGTATGAGGTTATATAGGTACTTTATTCCACACATTTTTTAAATAAACACAAACCACAAACTCTTTGACACAAAATTTAATATATCGAAACAGTAAGGGGACACAAATTTGATCAAAATAAAACATTATTTGGAAGATTGTTAAAATTCAACTGGCTTGCTTGCTCTTAAATAGGAATTGAAAAGTATGAAAAGATTTCTATAATTTTGAGGAATTCATCATATTAGTTAGGTTAGAATCGCAAATTGGCGCGGGTTCCTAGTTCAAAAATTAATACATTGATGTCTTATGGGGACTCAATTTTAAAAGCGTCTGTAGACGTGATAGAACGTTTGTTACGGAATTGAGTTGTATAAATAGTTTTTTTAATATGTTAATTAACTGAGAGAGTGTTTGAAAGTTGAATAAACATTGTTAAAATAAAAATATTACCAATTTAAGAAGCCGATGTTTGTATAAAATACGTATGTCGTTGCTTGATCCATAAGTATATATGAGTACCTAATTATAATAAAATAACAGTTTACCTACATACTTGGTTAGTAAATGTACTTCAATAATCCAAAAAAATTGAAAAATAAATGACTGAACTAGTGATAAATAAATAAAAATAAACAATTCACCAACAATCATAACACAACACACAACCTCACTTTCTCTCAGCTGGTTTTAGACCCGACGTACGTCCACCGAAAACAGACACTTTTAATTAAAATCATTTGTATTTTTAATTCATAGGTCTAAAGAAACAATTAGAGCATGAATTATAGAGAAATATGTTCAAAGTTTGATGTACAATAGGTTCCAATACTAAGAAATGCCCAGAACCCAAGATATTCCCGTCTGAAAATCACTCTTTTGAATCCCCCATAAGAAATACATTGCTGTCAAATTTGTTGAAATGTGTTTAGGAACCCATTTTAAATTTCGCGCCCGATTTTTCCTAACCTAACTAATATGGTCAATTATTTCCGCCTACCAAGAATGTCCACCAATCGAAGTTAAATCCAGGCTGGACACATTAATAAACACACAATGACAAGAATTGAGCTGGTGGCTCCCTACATTAGAACGCCAATGGTCACCTGACGTTACACCTGTTTTTGCTATAATCTTCACCTGCTCGCTCTTCATACGGAAAGTGTCAGATTAAAAACGACGGACATTACAGACTTACCGATAATAACCCGGTTAGTTTAAGTTAGTTTGTAATTTTAATCAGGCATATATCCAATCTTACCAATAACAACCTGGTTAGTTTGGGTTACTGACAACTCGCGGATAATAACCCCATTAGTTTACAGTTTTAAAAATGCATTACCAAACTTACCAATCATAACCTGGGTAGTTTGTGTTAGTTGGCAGTTTTAAGAAGGCATTACCAAATTTACCGATAATAACCCGGTAAGTTTTGGTAACATTGCAATTTTAATTAAACATTTCCAAACTTACCGATAATAACCTGATTAGTTTGGGTTATTTTGCAATTTAGAGTCTGACATTACCAACAACAATAACAATAATCTGATTAGTTCGGATAAGTTTGCAATTTTTATCAGTCCTGTATGCATGTTCAATTTTCGAGAATACAAATTTCGATTTTTTGCCGAATGCTGTTATTTCGAAAATAAACCTTTTCGAAAACGCTTATTTCGAATTTTTTTCTTTCAAAATTCAATAATTTTGAAAATATATTTTTCGAAAATTAATAATTCGAAAATCAATAATTTGGAAAACATAATGGTAATGTTTGATTAAAATTGCAAACTAAGCCAAACTAACCGGGTTATTATCGTTGAAAGTTTATTAATGTTAAAACTGCAAACTCACCGGGTTATTTATCGGCAAGTTTGGTGATCTCTGATTAAAATTGCGAGCTAACCCAAACTAACCCTTTACTATTAACTGAATTTACAGAAAAAGTGTAAACTTACAGAAAAAGTGTAAATTTACAGAAAAAGTGTAAATTTACAGAAAAAGTGTAAATTTACAGAAAAAGTGTAAATTTACAGAAAAACTGTAAATTTACAGAAAAAGTGTAAATTTACAGAAAAACTGTAAATTTTTATAAAAATATTTTTTAATATTAGCATGGCAGCTCTACGCTTTCGTAATTAGATGATACCTAGTTGCTACTTGCTACGTCTAATTTGCTGTATAAATAGAAAATATATAAACTAAAACAAAATTATGTTCTGCGTGAGATAGGGAATGTTGAGTGGAGTCATTTTTGAAGTGGAAACTTCTTTAGAATCGTTGGGAGTGATTTGAGACTCGATGAAACGAAAAAGCGACCCGATGAAACTAAACGAAAAAGCAACACTTTTTTAACACGCTTATATTAATACAATCACACAACAGGAACCTGGAACAAGCCAAGTGAGCTGGAACAAGTCTGGATAAATCTGGATGAAGTCTGGAAATCTCTGGAAACGTCTGGAAAGAGCCTGGAAATTTCTGGAAAGGGTCGGAAAAATTCTGCCAAAGGTCCCAAAAGACCTGGAGATCATTTTCCAGAATTCGGATCAGTCTGTACAAGTCTGGATAGGGTCTGGATAAATCTGGATAAACTCCGTAAAACTCTGGAAAACTCTGGATAAGTCTGGTTATTGTCTGGAAAAGTCTGGAAATTTCTGGAAACGTCTGGAAAAGACTTGGAAATTTTTGGAAAGGGTTGGAAAAAATCTGAAAGAGGTTCCAAAAGATCTGGGGATCATTTTCCAGAATCCGGATCAGTCTGAACAAGTCTGGAAAAAGTCTGGATTAATCTGGATAAAGTCTGGAAAACTCTGGAAAGCTCTGGAAACGTCTGGAAAGAGCCTGGAAATATCTGGAAAGGGTCGGAAAAATTCTGCCAAAGGTCCCAAAAGACCTGTGGATCATTTTCCAGAATCCCGATCAGTCTGTACAAGTCTGGATAAGGTCTGGATAAATCTTGATAAAGTCTGTAAAACTCTGGATAAGTCTGGAAAAGTCTGGAAACGTCTGGAAAAGACTTGGACATTTCTGGAAAGGGTTGGAAAAATTCTGAAAAAGGTCCCAAAAAACCTGGGGATCACTTTCCAGAATCCGGATCAGTCTGAACAAGTCTGGATTAATCTGGATGATGTCTGGAAAACTCTGTAAAACTCTGGATAAGTCTGGATATTGTCTGGAAAAGTCTGGAAACGTTCCAGACTTGGAAATTTCTGGAAAGGGTTGGAAAAAATCTGAAAAAGGTCTCAAAAGACCTGGGAATCATTTTCCAGAATCCGGATCAGTCTGTACAAGTCTGGATAAATCTGGATGAAATCTGGAAAACTCTGGAAAGCCCTGAATAAGTCTGAATAATGTCTGGAAAAGTCTGGAAATATCTGGGGCTAACACGCTTTTGATACATCGAACTAAAAAGTGAAAAATAATTTTTAATATAAACAGAAAATATTAATGAACAAAAAATATTAAAATTATTGTCAAAAAAGCGTGGGGTGCTCAATGTATGAGAAATGTGGAACCAAACACCCCAGCGTGTATTTTAGTTTTTTTAAACTATATTTATTTGCGTTCTTTCTCAAGTCTTTTGGAGGGGGGGACGCCACTGTCTATGTTAGTATGTGTGTAAAGCCTCATTTACACGGTGCAAGTAGCTTGAGCAAGTACTAACGCCAGTAACTAAATTATCTTTGTTTTCGTGCAAGTGGGTGTTTACATGCATTTTACTGATTTTAAGTCGAATTTAGTGATTAGTGCAAATTGAGGTGAAATGGCAGCAAGTACAGTTGTTCGAAAAGAAATTTAAAAATGCATTTTGAGTGTTTATGGAGAATTATCACACATTTTATTGAAAGAAATTGAACATGGAAAACGTTGTTGGGTTCGACCATGGATATCTCGTAGAGAAACACATGGTGCATCTTCCACATTATTGGTTGAAATTGTATGCGGATAACAAAAGAACAATTCAATAAGTTAACTTTTCGAAATAAAACCCATGATTAGCACACAAGATACTGTAATGAGACCTGCTATTCCAGTAAAAATTACATTGGAAATTACACTATCATATCTGGCAACAGGAAGCAGTTACAGACGACATTGCAAAGGCAACTAATAGGTGCAAGGTGCAACACAATACTCAAAATATTCAAATTCAAACTCCACTAATGTACTTCACTAATCACTAAATACAAATCCTGTCTACACACGTCCAGCCCGTTAAAGTCAGTAAAATAAACGAGAGGGGGAAGCCACTTGCTCAAGTAAATTGAACCAGCTTCTATTCACTTGACTAATTACTTGACTAAAGAGTTTACTTGCTCAAGTACTAAATTAAGGTGTCTACACGATTCAAGTTAGTAAATTTTAGTTACTGGCGTTAGTACTTGCTCAAGCTACTTGCACCGTGTAAATGAGGCTTAATGCATGCAGTTCGATGAAGGTTTCACTTCTACCGGGTGTGAATTGCACAGGATTTTTTTTTTGTCTGGCATTTTCAGGATGTGCATAAGCGCAACTAACTCCAAATACAAGGGGTGCTGACGAAATGAGACGCGTAAAAAAAAAATAGTTTTACGAGGGTTTTGTACTTACGTCATTTGCCTTTTTGAAAAATAGCTTTTTAAATGTCTGAAATTTCAACCAAACATATCGGGTCTTCAAAAAAAAAGCCAATCAAAGATTGCTATGGGTTTTTAAACGTACGTCTTAGCAATATTTTTCTTTAATTTTGACAATGTCAGTCAATGAAATTTATTGTCAAAATGTCATGTCAAAAATCCTGACCAATATACAAACAATAATGCGTACGTTTTCGTAACCAAAGCAATCTTTGATTGTTTTTTTTTTTTGAAGACCCGATATGTATAGTTCGTTGCACGACACGAGGGTTTTTACTTACGTCATCGATGACGTCATAACAATTTAAAGAAAAGATTAAGTCATAGATTATTTCAAAGAGCACCTTCGGAGTTATTGTTTTGTAATAAATTTTTTCTACGAGCGTGCGGAAAAGTGTACTTTTCCGCACGCATTTTAGGTCATTTAAGTATCACTTTTCCGCCTAGTGCTTTTCCGTTTTTTTCCGCACCGAGTGCGGAAAAATGATCACTTTTCCGCACTCCGTGCCGAAAAGTAGAATACCTGAAATTTTTAGGTATACAGGTACAGGGTGGCCCAAATTCGAGCCTCATCATTGGGATCTCGGAAACCGTGAGAGATACAGGGTCGGTTAAGTTATGGCAAAGTTGCGCATTTTGATGCTCAACAAAATGCCGCTTTGATATTTTGCAAAATGTTTATTTTTTCCTACTTTATTTGAAGTGATACTTCAAAAAAAATATTACTTCATCTTAGCCACTTTTTCTCCCCTACAAGATGCTATCATCAAATTTAAAATATGATGTTTCGTCTTTGGACCACCATCATCAACTTTACTTTTCTAAATACGGACCCTCGTTTATTATTTCAGATTTCAAGAGCTTCTGATATCCCAAAACCTATGACGAATCGCATTTATTCGAAAAATTTTTATTATTGGCACTTTCCATAAAAACTAAATGTGTAATGCGCGTATTACATCTGTGTATTTTTCCGTGTATTTATTCATGTAGTTCAGGGTGCCAACATTATTTTGTTTTTTTCATAATGCGGATTTATGTTGCGTTTGAAGTTTTTCGGTTGTCACCCTGAACTACATGAATAAATACACAGAAAAATACACAAATGTAATACGGGCATTAGAGAGAGACAGAGAAAAGAATTTTGGTAGGAAATTACTAAGAAATAAAAAAAAAATATTTTTTTCTACTACCGTGCGTAAAGTACTCACTTTACGCGCTATTCAGAAGACGTAAAATTTCACTTCACGCACTAGTGCGTAAAGTAATGTCAATGACAGATGTCGACACTGTCAATTTGGCATTTTTCTGGTAAATCACTTCACGCACTAGTTCGTAAAATGAAAATTCTTTACGCACTAGCGCGTGAAGTATTTGACTAAATTTATTTTCGTACACATATTTGATTGGTAGTAGAAAAAATTTTGTATGCAATACTTGCGTAAAGCACCTTTTTTCACTCATGTGATTGTCGCACTCGCCTTCGGCTCGTGCGTCAAAATTCACATTCGTGAAAAAAGGTTCACTTTACACACTTGTTGCATAAATAACTATTTTCGGATAAATGCGATATGTCATAGGTTTTGGAACATCAGAAGCTCTCAAAATCAGAAATAAAAAATCCAGGGTTGTATTTAAAAAAAATAAGTTGATGATGGTGGCCAAAAGACGAAATGTCAGATTTTAAATTTGATGGTAGCATCTTGTAGGGGAGAAAAAGTGGCTATGATGCAGTGATATTTTTTTCGAAATATCACTTCAAATAAAGTCAGGAAAAAATAAAAACAATTTTGCAAAATTTCGAAATTTTTCTGGATATCTCCGGAAGTATTCTGAATATCCTGAATATCAAAGCGGCATTTTGTTGAGCATCAAAATGCGCAACTTTGCCATAATTTAACCGACCCTGTATCTCTTATGGTTTCCAAAATCCCAATGATGAGGCTCGAATTTGGGCCACCCTGTACTTACAGATTAACAGGATATACTACCAGGTACAGGTACAAAAAAGTGAAAAAAAATATCTTAAATTGATAAATATGTAGATGAAAATATTACCTTTCATCTCGTAGAAAAAATAGTGTTCCTAACTCGTGCGGAAAGTATCTTTTCCGCACTTGATTGCTTGCCGAATTTCGCTGCGCGTCGGTCGATAAACTGCAATCGCGTGCGGAAAAGTGGTACTTTCCGCACTAGTTAGGAAATATACTATTTTAACTTAGAATAGAGTTTATTCAGTTATCCGAAAATATACATGTATAAATACATTTCTCCTGGAGTGATTTTTCACTGGAAAATTTTGAAATTTTCTTCTAATGAGCTCCTCACTTTCCTCTTTCTCCTGTAAAAATTTCAAAATTTTCCCGTTGCCAGTTTTCCAGAAAAAAATTAAAATGTAAGAGGGTGAATTTTCTTCAATTTTGCCTTAATAAGTCAATTTTCTTTGAGTTTTTCCTGGAATGATTTTTTACTGGAAAATTTCGAAATTTCCCTGTAATAAGCTCCTCACTTTTCTCTTTTTCCTGGAAAATTTTCAAAATTTTCCCTTTGCCAGTTTTCAAGAAAAAAATTAAAATGTAAGAGGGTAAATTTTCCTTAACTTTGCTTAAATAAGTCAATTTTCCAGAATTTTTCCTCGAGTGACTTTTCATTAGAAAATTTTAAAAATTTACTTTAATGAACTCGCTTTCCTCTTTTTTCTGGAAAATTTTCACAATTTTCCTTTTGCCAGTTTTCTCGAAAAAAACTAAAAAGAAAGAAAATGAATTTTACTTAAAAAAGTCAATTTTCCAGTATTTTTCCTGAAATGATTTTCCACTGGAAAATTTTGAAATTTTCCTATAATAAGCTCCTCATTTCCGTCTTTCTCCTGCAAAAATATCACAATTTCCACTCTGCCAATTTTCCAGAAAATAGTTGTAATATAAAAGAATGAATTTCGCTTAAAAAAGTCAGTTTTCCTAAATTTGTGCTGGAGTGTTTTTTCACTGGAAAATTTTGAAATTTTGTTATAATGAGATCCTCACTTTCCTCTTTTTTCTTAAAAAATTTCACAATTTTCCTTTTGCCAGTTTTCTAGAAAAAAACTAAAAAGAAAGAAAATGAATGTTACTTAAAAAAGGCAATTTTCCAGAATTTTTCCTGAAATGATTTTCCACTGGAAAATTTTGAAATTTTACTATAATAAGCTCCTCATTTTCGTCTTTCTCCTGCAAAAATATCACAGTTTTCACTCTGCCAATTTTACAGAAAATAATTGTAATATAAAAGAATGAATTTCGCTTAAAAAAGTCAGTTTTCCTAAATTTGTCCTGGAGTGTTTTTTCACAGGAAAATTTTGAAATTTTGCTATAATAAGATCCTCACTTTCCTCTTTTTTCTGAAAAAAATTCACAATTTTCCTTTTGCCAGTTTTCTAGGAAATAAATGTAATTTAAGAAAATGAATTCTGCTTAAAAAAGTCAATTTTCCAGAATTTTTCCTGGGATGATTTTCCATTGGAAAAATTTGAAATTTTCCTATAATAAGCTCCTCACTTTCGTCTTTCACCTGAAAAAATTGCACAATTTTTACTTAGTCAGTTTTCCAGAAAAAAATTGAAAAACTTTGATATTTCTGTGAGAAACTCTAGTTCGAACTGCTATTATCGTCTAGCAATTTTTCAGCGATATTTTCAAGACAAAACCTTCCATTTTTTTCCCGCATATCGTGTTTTTTCACATCAGCGCGGTCACCGTTTTAAAGTTATTATTATACATATTTATATGGACATATGGCAACGCCGAGTAGGCATCAACTGGAACCACGTTGATTACGGCGAGCCTACCACTCCGATGGAGCCCGGCTCCAAAAGTCTGGCTCCATTTGGGGATCAAAAAATATACATGGAATAGGTTTTCTATAAGTGTTAACTATAATATTCTTTGGTTATAGTCACTGTAGAAAATCCGTCCCGGCTAGTGCCACGATTTACGTGGGTTGCCAGTTGCCATGGCGACGAACGTGTGACGTCACCCAAACATCACGCTAGGCGGTACATTTATTGGGCTCCAAATGTTCCGCCCGGAATCAGGAAATTTTCGCGCTTTCGACGGTTGCCGGCATTTATTGAAGGTTTATTCAATGTTTTGTTTTTGGATTAAGTTTTTTATCAGTTTTTTTATCAGTTTTTTTATCAGTTTTTTATTGGAATTCGGAGAGTTTGTTAATTTAATTTGCTAATCTAAAGGTCGGTGATTACAAAAACTCGTGTTCAGCTTTTTGAGTCTACATGACAAACTTGACTTGAAAAATAGTGGACGACCATTGTCAATATTGAACATTGTGCAGGTACAATCAAAATGTAAAAATGAGGCACAGTTTTCGCGAAAGTTTGACAAAGAAATATACAATAAAAATTTGTGGATATATGTCATCTCAGAAACTGGCTAGTACAATCAACGCTAGTAGGTACTCATGTTGCCCCTAAAATTTTGACCTAAGAATTTATATTTATATTAAGAGACTGACTTTATGATGACAAATTTTTAAACATTTTTTTCTGAGCCCCCCCTTACATGATTGTCACGAGCCGCCACTGTGTCCGACACATTGTAAATTCCAAATACCTAAGCCTAATCTAACGAATTCTTAGCTAACAAGTAACTTTCGTCACATGAGCCTCATTTTTCATGGGTCAAATTATTAGGTACTTATCAAAGGATTATCCATCAAAATAATATACTTAGGTACCTACACTACAGCAACATAATATAGAAAATACTTGAACTTACCGCAATAAATAGGTAGATGAAAATATTGCTGTAGAACATAAACTTAATCCATTAAGATGCCACTACTACAAGATAGCAAGTTAGTAGACATACACAAAGAAACTAAACGACGATTAAAGCAAAACACAACTCAAGTATCGCGATAACGCAAAAAAGCGCTAACGTCGCTAACTTTATAATGGAATCATAAAATCATAACCCGTTTCGAGGATTCCGGGAAATCCCATACGTTTATAAAGGACATTCCCCGAAATAATTGCTAAATGCAGTGTTGACAGCTTTAAACTGTAATATCGGAAACGTAGTGTTCTACGTTCTGCAAGGAAATGGTCATTATAATAGTTGCTATATTTGGGGCTTGTAGTACGGCAGCTTAACTAGGATATTTCAACATATACTTTTTGATAACGGCACCAAATTTGGCACAGAGGTAGATCGATGTAAAATGAACAAATTTGCATGTGGAGGCCATTTGTCTCTGCCCCTCCGGCGGCCGTGGCGGCCATTTTTGAAAATGGCCGCCAGTGGACACTTCGAAAGACAACGGAAGTTTGATATAGTTTGCTGCTGAAGGTTTTACCAGTTTTACTGATCGTGTGGTGTGCCGATTGGTTTTGTTTTTTCTTGGAAGGGAAACTGTTGGTTGACTGACTATTTTTATTTTTTTTTAATTTTCAATTTAAATCTAGTGGTGTGACCAGTATAATAGGAATAGGTAGGTACTGGTACTATACAGGGCGATTTACATAGCCCATGCATTAGCTTGCAGGTGCATTAGATGCTATTTCTACTATCCCACCTGCAAACTGGACAACTTCTAAATGCACTGGCCGCGTAAATCACTGTGTATATTGATTTATTGCTAACTCGCGGCTGAGCTGGCAATATCTCCTATCTCGCATTTTTACGATTTTGAGCTTTATAGTGATATAGATACAGATGCACGTTCCGCAACCGTTAGTAAACATCTCCTATTGGCCAAAAATCTCGTTTGTTTGAAAATTTGGCCTTGAAATTTCTCCTATTAAAATGCTGCCCAAAAACAGTATTGCAATATCTCCTATTACACAATTGTAAATGAGGCAAGTTGTTGTGTGTGTCGTGCTCCCGAATTTTCCTATTTTTGAAGCTAATAAACTAAGCAGCAGATGAAGTGGGACACCCGAAAAATTGCCTAATTTTGACTTGCTATAACATTCACATTTTTTTGCCGATCTTGGATTGTGAGCCACTGTAACAAAGCGCCATCTTTGGTCTATGCGTCAGTGTCGTCGTACATTTTTTTTTTTTAATCCTTCTCCTTATACAGGGTGTGAATGTAAGGCGGCGAAAAATTTCGATTTTTTGGCGAAGAATATGGGAAAGATGGGGGATCCGGTAAAGTTCTTTCTGATGTTGGGTGAATCACTGGGTCAATACCTCGGGACGTCTTTGCCATTTTTTCGATACACTGCGTTACTATGGAAATCTGGCCATTTTATGGAATTTAGTTTTCCTCTTGAGATTAGCGATTCTTCAATTGAACAATAACAGATTCCGTCTTTATTGCATCAAGGAATGATTTGTATAGAAAATGGTCAACACCAGCGGTGTGCAAAAGGGGGTTTATGAAGTTAAAATAAAAAAAATCGACTTTATCTGAAATTTTTGAGTTTTGTTAAGCGTTAAAATTTAAAAAGTGTTATGAATAATTGTGATGAGTTTGATTTTGATATCCAGAGGCGTTCAGTATAGAAAAACATTTTTTCCCCATTTTTTTAGACTTTATTATGCATTTTTACATAAAAGCTAATACAATAGTTAATTATTTTTATTTAGTAAGGCATTGGTCCTCCTCTAGCCTGAATCACTACCTGACACCGCCTTGGCATGCTCAGAATTAAGCGATTAATTAGTTCCATAGGAACTGACTTCCAGAGCTCCAGAATCATCTCCTCGAGATCGTCTAGAGTTTTTGGCTGACGTTCTCCCCGAGAAAGCTTTAACTTCATCTAGCTCCAGATGTGCTCAATCGGATTCATGTCTGAAGATCTAGGAGGCAATTCGGTACGATTGAGATTTTGCCATTCCAGGCCGAGCATTATCGTCTAACAAGAACAAAACCCCCGCCATAATTTCGAGCATACGGGAGAACTTGCGGAATCAGACATTCTTTCAGGTAGACTTGGCCGGTAATATTGCCGCTACGAGTTTTATCCTTCCGTTGTGTTGAATACCCCCCAAACTGTCCATCCTCCGCCGCCAAATGCAACTTGGGATCGCAAGATTTCTTGGAAAAATCTCCCCGTCTCAACCAAGTTAGCAATCGGCCGTCGGAATTGTACGGGTTGAAACGGTATTCATCAACGAAAAGACAGTCTCTCCACCTAAAATCCCAATTCAGGTATTCCTGGGCCCATCTTTTTCTGTTCGCCTGATGAATGTTCGTACAAAGTGAGACTTTGCCCGATGGCGAGCATTTAATCCCTGATCATGTAGGCGCCTTCTAATGGTGTCTGCTGGAACATTCAACTGCGGATGCGCTTGGATTCTCTTGGCAGTCCAAACTCTATTTCCAACCGCAGTACGTACTACTAGTCGATCCTGACGAGGATTTGTTCTTTTTTGAGATCCTCCACCGTGTCGGTAAGCAGCAGTACCGTTGTTAGCCTCGCTTCCCGCACGGACGATTTATTGACATTAAGTAAGTCAGAAATCTCTCTAATTGTATGATTTCTCTACTGCAATATCAAAATATTCTCTACATCAGCACTCGTAAGTTGCGCTATTTGGACCATGGCAATTGAAATTTTGACAGAAAATGCATTACATGATGGCAATGCTTTACAAGGTTTGTTCGTGTCACGTTAACATTAAATAAAATGGAAGAAAATGAAAAATGCTGTTTTTTTTTTCACCAAACGCCTCTGAATCTCAAAATCAAACTTATCACAGTTATTTATAACAACTTTCAAACTGTAACGCTTAATAAAACCGTTAAAATTTTCAAATAAATCGATTTTATTTAATATAATTTCATAGACCCCCTTCTGCACGCCGCTGGGGTTGCCATTTTCAATACAAGTCATTCCTTGATGCAATTTAGACGGAATCTGTTATTGTTCAATTAAAGAATCGCTAATTTCAAGAGAAAAACGAAATACCATAAAATGGTCATATTTCCATCATAGCAACGCGATGTATCGAAAAAATGGCAAAGACGTCCCGAGGTGTTGACCCATTGATTCACTCAACATCAGAAAGAACTTTATCGGACCCCCCATCTTTCCCATATTCTTCGCCAAAAAATGGAAATTTTTCGCCGCCTTACATTCACACCCTGTATAAGGAGAAGGAATTTTTTTAAAAATGTACCACGACACTGACGCATGGACCAAAGATGGCGCTTTGTAACAGTGGCTCACAATCCAAGATCGGCAAAAAAATGTAGAAGTTATAGCAAGTCAAAATTAGGCAATTTTTTGGGTGTCCCACGTCATCTGCCGCTTAGTTTAGTAACTTAGGCGGTAAGTTTTGAGTTATTATACTTTTAACCTAAGTCTTCTCATTATGAAATTTTGTTCCAATATTAAAAAATAGAAAGATTATTGCCATAATAGCCTTATAAGGTTTTTCTTTTAGATAGGAGCTTTTGCCTCGAAAAATATCTAAGAATATTGTGCAAATAGGAGGTTTTGTCAGAATGACTTCACGCGGTAAAAAAAATTTAGCTATGATAGCTACCAACCAAAAATCCAAAAGTGATATTGATAATAAAGAATTTAATAAGACTGATGAACAAACCAAGAATAATAATGATAATAAAGAAAAAAAGACTTATAATGAAACTAACTGTGATAGTATTAACGTTATTGAACCTACCGAAAGTACAAAAAAAATAAAATTTGATAGGTATTAAAAGTCTACCGGTGGTGATGCTAGATGGACAGAATGAGCTTGAGGATTCTAAAGAAGATAATGAAGAAAACAATCTTGTTTCCCTGTGCTTTGATAGCCTGCTGGAGGATAACGCTACTGTATCGCTTGAAGAGGAATCTTATATGTATGAGCTAGATGAAAATGGTGTGCTGATTAATCAAACTCTGCTAAATCCTTTGGAAATATCGATCAATTCAGAACTTGAACAATCAACAAATAATCTAGAAAGATCTGAAGTAATGAATGATTTGCTTGATAACAATGAAACTGGCAGTGAATCAGTGAGAAGTAGCTCACTAGAAAAAAACGATGGTAATTATCTCATTCAGCATTAAAATCTACAAAAGTATACTGACCTATTTTTTGTGTTTTAGGTGTCGTAGAACAGAATTACCAATCAACCTTCGATAATGAAAAAGATAACGATTCAGACTACCAACCCGAATCGGAAATCAACAATAATAGTTCCGATTCGGAGGATTCGGAGATGATTGATCGAACAGAAAATGCCAATTTGGAAGCAGAAATTGGGAATCAAGAAGAAAATAATAAGGCGCGTAAAAGAAGATTAGTTGCCAATTCGGAAGAGTGGAAAAGAAATAAAAATAAAAAACTAAGGCTAGAAGGCAAACCTTTTCTCGGTTTTAGCAAGAAGAAAGGAGAGAAAATGAAGCAGGACAGTCAAAGGGTTGAACGAAGATTGAAAGAAACATGCAAATCTACAAAATGCAAGAAAAGTACTAAAAGATTTTGTCTACAATTTACAGAAGAAACACGACAACAAATTTCTAGTAAATTTTGTAACGAAACGGATTGGGGTCAAAGAAAGGTTTTTGTATCTTCGAATGTAATCAAACAAAATACTGCACGGGGTAGAGAAGCATCGCGAAGACAGGGTACATACTTATATTATTTGAATTCAGGAGACAAAAGACTTCAAGTTTGTAGGCAAATGTTCATAAACACTTTAGACCTAGGATATAAAACTATCCAAGATTGGGTAAGTAAGGGCACATTTGGCATGGGTTCCGAATCTTCCAGGAACACCAACTATAAGAGGGATAAATACGCTAATCAGTACAAAAATCTAAATACATTTTTTGAGCAGTTACCTAAGTTGCCAGCACATTATTGTAGAAAAGATACCTCAAAACTCTACCTAGAGCAATCCTTCCAGACGTTCACTGATCTTTATAACAGAATCCAAACTACCAATTATCATCTAGTCCGACGGATGTGGTTTTCAAAACCGAAACAAAGTGTTGGCGAATGCTTTGCTGAACTTAGCAATGAAACATGAAGTTAACATTTACCAAAAGTATCTTGAAGGCCATACCCAAATGGAATGTGACTCGGTTCATAGCCTAATTGAGCGTAAATTAAAAAACAGAGAAATTCACTTACCAAGTGATTATTGCTCAGTGTCAAGAGAATGTAGGGTTACTCCTAGACCTTATGATGTAAAATTGCTGGAATTTAATTTCTTTAAAAACTATGCAGAAACTAAACATTTAAGATACACTTCTCTCAGACCTGGCAAAAGAGCCTATGAGCCAGTAATAAATGACATAAGATGTATCAGATACACTGCGCTGCCAACTCCTGAAATAACTGTTAAGCTTTCCTATGAAGAACCCTATATAAGTCTGCCAGTGAGGCCCAAGTCGATCCCAGTTATTGATTCATACCCACCCCGGTTAAGTGCACCTAGCAAAATTAAAAAATCTAAATGGGAACATCTACAGGAACTTAAATCGGTACTGCCTAAAGACACTCATGCATTTTATGACAATATTTTGTATACTAAATAAGATGTAGTTTTTGTTGTTGTGTTGTGTTAATCTTAGTTTGTTCTACTAAATTTGAATGTTTTTTTATTTTGTGTTAATCTCAGTTTATTTTACTGAATTTGGATATTTTTTTATTTTGTTTTTTTGTATCTATATGTACCTACTTTTGAATATTTTTTATATTTCTTAGAATTTTTAGAAATGCAATCCTGAGTTACTTTTGAAAATAATAAAACTAATGTAAGCTCAATTTTTCCTTCATTTCAATAACTCCCTGTATACCAAAAATCGAGAGCATAATATCCTATAATCCAACTTTATAAAAGCAATCGCTCCTATGTGCATTTAAAACCAGTGGTGTTACAATTTTTTCTCAACTATCATAAAAATCTTATTCTTGTGTAGATACTATTTTATCATCATTCCAAATAAAAAAGCAATCTAGCAAGCCATTCCAGAGTTACATATTTTTTATGACGTCCTATAAAGTGAGGCAAGATAACATAGGAGGTATTGCCAGCTCACCTGCGTGATGCTGGCATATTTAAAGAAGTATTTTTTTATTTATCTACATAGTGGCGCACCCAAGGCAGGGGGGTTTTGGGGGGTTAAACCCCCCTCCGAAATTTAGCACTGGTACAAAGAATACGCCTTTTTTGTCGCAAAGCTAGAACGCTTTAAGTTAAATTTTATTTTTCCAGATTTCCAAGCCAAAATGTTTGTAGTATGTATTCCGTTTTCGTTAATGAAAATAGCAAACAACTTGTGAAATCTTCTCATGAAGAGAAGATAAGGGGACATTCCGTAAGTTAACCAAGATTCTTGGTTCTTTCGATAAACGTTCCGTAACCTAACCACTCCTGAAATCTGGTTAGGTTATGAAACGCGGTGCCACACATAAACCACATATTCATGACCCAGACTGTCACCATAAACGAACCGCTCCATACCAATCGGTAACTCTGGTTAAGAAAGAAGTTTTTTATGTTGAACTTTTTGTGTTTTTTTTTTTCGAATTTTTGGTGATAGTGCAACTCTAATTGATATTATTTGTGTTAATAAGGGAGTGAGTGTTATCATTGTATAGTGTTATTGAGTCAGGAACATTGGATATGCTTATACAATGTTATAATTTAACTGATCATAGATTTGTGTAGGTACCGTCTAACGTGCAACCTCTATAAGACATCGCGAACAACCACCTAAAAAAAATGTTTTTGTATGTAAATTGACCTGATTTTGGAGTTCGCCAGTCGATCCGGAATTGCGAAACTGGTCAAAACCGGCATTTTCCAAAAAATATCCAATTTTATGGAAATTTCTAAATTTTTATTCAACATGCTGTATCTCCCTTAGTTTTAGTCCGATTATATTGAAATTTTTTTGAGAGCCAATTTAGACCTTTGTTATTATGACGAACATAACAGAAATGCAGAAAAAAAATTACGAGTCACCATAATATATTTTTTTAAAGTTAGTGACACGAAAATGTTAAAATTGCGGCGAGAAATACTCGATCGAGAAAACTTTTTTGTTTTTGAAGGTAGATGTATATAGTAAGCGACAAAGTTGTAGCCAAAGAACCAAAGAAGTTTTTTTATTCTTGTGATTTTTTTGATAACTTAGTTTTTAAACAAACGGATCTCCAATATAGAAAAAAAACTATCACGGCCCCGCGACCGTTGTACAAGGGATCGCCATGCGTATTCGTATTGCAGTTTCAGAGGGAAGTGATAATAACCAATAATAACCTATTGAATAATACTTAATCGGGGGTTTATTTCAAAGTTCATGTAAATTTTAATTTTGGAGGAGAAATATGTAAGGGTGGGTATTATAAAACTGCTTTGACAGTTAACTTGAAGTTAACTTTTTGAATTACATGTAATTCCAGAAGTTAACTTTAAGTTAACTCTCAAAGTAGTTTTATAATACCCGCCCTAGAATAAAGTTTTAAATTTTGATAGAGGCAATAGACCTATCTATTTTTACCTGTATGCGCGCGCAACACGAGGCCAATGCATTTTTCTGGCTAACTAATACAGGTGTGAAGTAATCCTTTTGCACGCTGCCCACATAACAAAATTGCATTCTTAGAATGTTATGGGTATGTTCTTTTTTTAGGAGGAATGTGCCTAGAATGTTCGCCAAAACCATTGCGAATGTCCTGAGAATGTTCTGAGAAAAGATTGTAGAAATACTGTTTGCAATACCCAAGAACTTCCTGGGAAATCCATTAAGATATTCCTAGAATATACCTATGAGATTCTCAGTACATCATGAAAAGAATATTCCTGTTTGATTCTAAAAATATGCTCGAAATGTATATTCTCATATTCAAAGAAATATGTTTCTATGACATCATAGTTATGTACTCGAAAGATATGCTTGAAATATTCGTAGAATATATCTACATACATATATCATTCTCAATATGCATTCTAGGGATATATTTGGAATGTTAATTTTCGCTTCCAAATAATTCTTCTTTCAGTCTTTTATATGAAAGGCAGAGAAAGAGTTGTTGGAAAACTTCTCTGGAAAACGCAAGTGTTTAACCAAAGCTCCTGTTTCGAGCTTGTTATGCTCTTTTCGCGATAAGCACGCCAACTGAGAGAAACAGGTTCCAAGGTGATTCAAACGCTAGGCAAGATATAGATCCTTAATAGCGCGTGGCTCCCTCTCTTGTCCTAGAAAGCAAAAGAAAAAGAATATACCTATAATATTCTTAGTATGTTCTATACCTTTACAACTTCAAATTGAGACTTATCACAATCAAATTGAAATTAACAACATCAAATTGAGACTTAAAACAATCAAATTGAGAATAATCAATTCCAAATTGCTACAATATCCGTTTCCATGTAATTGAACGTTGTACCAATTTGAAATTGATTGTTCTCAATTTGATTTTGTTTAATCTCAATTTGAAAATGTTTGTTCCCAATTTGATTGTGATAAGTCTCAATTTGAAGTTGTAAAGGTATAGATAGAGCATTATTGTCTAATTGTTTTTTTAAGATTTTTGAGTAGGTACGTTAGATAATTAGGTGAACAATATGAAGATATTCTTATCATGGTTACCTACCTACATAAACTTCTCAGTACAACTTGGTAGGTATATTCTTAATACTTGATAGAGATATTTGCCGGAAGAACATTTTTTAGGGTACATTATAATAATGTTCGTATGACAATATTCAAATAATGTTATATAAAGTAGGTTCTTAGCACAATCTTTAAGGTATGGTATATACAGGTATATAGAAGCAATATTCTTAGTACATAAATAGAACGTTCAAAAATTAATATTTCAATCGAAACAATTTTAGAACATTCATTGAACATTCCTAAAAGAATATTCCAAAAAGCACTTTGAGGGAATATTCTGAGAATATGAATGTTCTTTCATTGTTATGTGGGTGGGCATCTCCTTGTTCTTGTTTATTACCCGTGATCTGACAAGGATAAAATTATGCTTGATATTCAACTTGACACAGCTTGACAAGTGATCGATTTTCAATTGTTTGTGTTTTTGATTGACAAATAGGTTGCACGTCACGCGGTTTTCCTCCTTCCTTTTTTATCCCGTACAAATAATAGGAACGGATTGCTATACGTAAGTCTAACATAATTTGGTACGTTTTGCCTCGTCTTGGCGTTCTGCGTCTTTTTCTATCTAATAAAGTTTTCGTATTATTACCTCTTTGTCTGGTAAAATAGATAGGTCTATAGGGCATTCCAACAAAAAAAAATCAGTCAGGGCACACAATTCAATTGTGTCATACAAGTGTCACACAATCGAACACGCGTCATTTTATTGTACATTTTTTAATAATAATAGTTGCTCAGTTGTTCTAATAGTTATTTATACACCAAGTGAGTTAAATGAATGTTTATTCATGAGAAGAAAGTTTAACCCACGAGCCCTAGCGAGTGGGTTAATTTTCTTCGAATGAATAAACATTTTAACTCACGTGATGTATACAAAATTTTATCCTATTTTGATAGACATCTAAATTAGTAAGAATCAAATTTTAAAAAGAATATTCATTTAGTAGCACATGAAAGGTCTAAAATTGAAATTGGTGGTTGCTAGGGTATAACCAGTTGTTTGTTTGTATTTGTAGCAGATTCTATACTGGTAGAGTGACTTAAAATACCGAGAGTGAGTTAAAAATATTTTAAATCACTCAGGTGATAAACGTCTACTTACCTTTGCTATTATGCGTTCAATGATGTCATTTTTAAACGTCAAAATGGGATAAAAAGTATTAATACTTGATAATAAGTACTAATATACATATATGTCGTTATCTCGAACAAACTACAGCATATTTTAACTCACTGCCAGTTAAATCTTCCCGTTTGATTGCATTTAACCAGCGTTGTCTTCTAGTGTGTTTGTTTAACTTTATCAGAATGTTTTCTATTCAGTTCCGATGGTATTTTTCTAAAATTTAACTTTGTCGCGTTCTCCCCTATTTTTTCATTTCACTACACAACAAAATGCAGGCATTTTACCAATATTTTTGCGCACTTTCACATTTGCCTGCCCTGGCTAACTTTTGACAAATGCCATTTTTGACAGTTCGATGGAATGCCCTATTCAGTGATTTAAATAGATTCGATTCAAAATATTATTCATTTTGTTATTTATGTCTACCAAGTGTTCACATCTTTGTTCCTGATTCAGATCCTACTCTAATTAGTTTTTAGATTGGGTAATGACCACAATAAATAACATTGAATGTTCTGATGTTAACTTAGTATCAGAGGAGACTGAAAACTTGAGACGTTATTTGAGGGAAAAACGTTTGGATATGGTAGAGGTATCGTATGCTAATATCTGTAGTTTGTTTAAAAATATTGAGCCTTTAAGAAAATAATTCAACGAAACTTTTAAAAATAACCCCACTGCTCTTTTCTGGCTGCAGTACATAAATATGATATGTATACTACAGTGGTATTTAATTGCAAAACGTAGCGGAGATTGGAACCAGCATTTACTATATGTAGAG